AAGCGGCCAGTCGGGAAGAGGCGATCAATGGTGTAAGAAGCGATGGGTACATATGAACATGTAGATGCGAAAAAGTGCAAACTCACTCTCCTCGTCCCCCTTGCTGCTCCCACTTCTTCACCTCCCCCCTCCTCGCCCTCACCCTTCTCCGTCACTTCCACTTTCCTACCGCCCCTACTACTCTTTCCCCTCCTCTCGACAACCCTCCCTTAGCATTCATCTCGTCAATCAACACCATGATCTCCAGCGCTCGCCCTCCCCCTCTCCCTCCTCCTCTCCCTCCTCCTCCACACTCTCTTTCTGCTTCTCCTATCTCATCCTTCCCACTTGCGTTTTCAATGTCCGCCTTTCATCTCTGATCGTGAGCAGGGGCGCGAGAGGGGAAGGGGGGGAAGGGAGCCGTCGGAAGATCGAGAGGAGCAGGAGGAGGGAGACGCGGCAGGCAAGCGATAGAGATCATGCTGTACATAAACGAGATGAATGCTAAGGGAGGGTTGTAGAGAGGAGGGGAAAGAGTAGTAGGGGCGGTAGGAAAGTAGAAATGACGGAGAAGGGTGAGGGCGAGGAGGGGGGAGGTGAAGAAGTGGAAGCAACAAGGAGGACGAGGAGAGTGAGTTTTCAACTTTTTCACATCTACATGTCCATATGTACAAAATAGCATCTTCACACCTTCATCGCCTCTTTCCGACTTCTCGCCTCCCCGTCCTCTTTTCTCCTGGCACTTGAACTAACAGTCGCGCTCCTTGCTCCCCTCCCCTCCCCTCGTCTCATCGCAACAGGCTCGAACTCTCCTCCATCAGCTCCTGCTCGACCTTCCACTGTCCTCCCCATCAGCACCAGAACTGCACATGCGCATGCCCGACCTGATGGTTCACGGCCTCCGCCAGCTCTCGCTGTCTCTTCTTAACAGTCTCAAGTGAGAGCTTCACCTGCCAACCTTGAATCAGTCCCATCCTGCTCTCCTACCTGGCCCTTCAATCGCTCCCTCGCTCCCTCGCTCCTCCTTCCATCCTCACCCCCCTCCCCCTGTCTCCCCTTGCTGTCCTTTCTCTCGACCTCTACCCTCTGTGACTTTCCGCTTCGACCCTCCACCTCTTGCCCTCCCTCACCTTCATCTTCATCTTTTCTCGCGCCTTCTTCCCATCGCTGACGGGTAAGTGAGCAGCAACAAGTAGGGAGGAGGGCCATGAGACAAGGACTACAACATGGCACAAGAGAGCAAGGTAGTGGGAGAGACCCTGAGAGGTTAACAAGGATGATGATGACGACGACGACAATGACAAGAACAAGAACAAGAGAGATGTCGATGATCAGGAGGAGGAGAAAGAGAAGGAGGGTGGGAGGGAGGAAGAGGCAATGTGAGGGGACCTGCTTTTGCTCAAGATCGTCTTCCAGTCGTTCTGCTGCGGGGTTGTGAGCGGAGGGGAGAGGAACGTTCTTCCTACCTTCTTCAAGCTCTCAACCTGCTCCTCCTTCTTTAGCTCGTCCATGGCCACCTGATGCTTCGCGTCCGCTTCCAGAAACTTGCTCCTTGCCTGCGGGCTGCCTTAAGCGAGGTTGCGGAGGATCTCAGCAGTCTGCACCTGGTCGACGAGCTCTGTAGCCTGCCGTAGAGCCTCCTTCCCCTTGCTCGCCTTCTCTTCTCGCTCCTTTCTCGGCATCTTCTGCATACAACAAGTCAGCTACCCTCGTGTAGCAACACTGCACGACACCGCAGGATCCGCCTTCATCACTCCCTCCTTCTGCCTCTCAGAGGCTACAGCCTGTTGCTCCCGGGAGGAGGTCAAGGCCGAGTCATGCCCTTGTTGGATGCTGGCAGAAGAGTTGTGTGGGAGCTGCTGCTGCTGCTGCTGATGATGATGATGATGGTTCGCGTCTTGCTGCTGCTTCTCCTGCTGCTTCTCCTGCTGCTTCTCCTGCTGGTGCTGGTGCTGGTGGTTCAACCTTTCCATCATCTTCTCGGCCTTGGTCAGATCTTGTTTCCACCGAGCCTTTCTCTCCAGGTCTCGCTTCTCCTCCCGTTTCAGGGCCCACCACCAGAGCTTCCGCTTCCTCCTCCCCATGGCGAGTTGTCTCTGGTGGTCATCGTCGTCCTCCTTGTCTTCTTTCTCTTCCTCCTTCTTTGCATTCATGAACGATTCCTGTCGCTTCTTGTCTCTTCGCTCCGCCTCTTTGAGATCATCTTGATACGCCTGATATGCCTCGGTTGCCATGCGCTTCACCGACCCTGCGACGGCCTTGGCTCGCTGCTCGCTTGCATGTTCGGGCTTCTTCTCCTCATCAGCATGACGCGGTTCCTTTGCGTCTTTGGCGCGGTCAGTCTGGAGCTTCTCAGCTCGCTTGTCGAGCTGCTTATCAGCCATCTCTGCCGCCTTGTTTCTCGCCTTGGCTATGTCAAGTAGAGTCTTCACTTCTCGCTCTCTTGACTTCTTCTTGTCCACTTCCTCGATCTTCATCGCAAGCTTCTCGTCTTTCTCCACCTTCTTGTCCTGGTCCTCCACCGCATCATCGAACGCGGCCTGCCTGTACAGGTCGGCTCGCCTCGCCATCCTCATCGTCTCTCGGTATGCAGAGCCTGAGGGGGGGATGGAGGGAGGAGAGGAGCGAGCAAGAAGACTTGTTCCAGCTGTGTCCTCCTTGTCAGCTCTCAGCAGAACTACCATGACCGCGCATGCCAGCAGCAGCCCCAGCATCGCCGCCGCTACCCCCCTCACCATTACAGTGCTAAACTGCTAATTCCGGAGTGTTTGCGCCTCATCCCCCCGCTGCCCGTAGCTGTCGACCGGGCCGCCGGGACCGCCGAGTCCCCGAGTTTGACTCAGTGATCACAAGTTCCGACTCCAAATGTTCCTCTCACATTTCAAAATTGAAATAAAACTTTGATCAATTGAAATACGGGGATAAGTGTGATGACCGGTACTGACATCGAGACACAGGAACTAGGAGGGGTAGTGGATCCTCAAGGAGTCCCTGACCACCGGTTATTTTACCAGTAAATGAGGGGGTGAAGGTAACTCTAAGACCTCGACATGGTTGGGTGCTGCTGATAGGTGGTGTAGATCAGGTTGCTAGCTAGGCCCTAGGGAGGTCCTAGCAGTAAGCAAGGTGGCTTAAGATCTATGAGCAAACAATGATAGGGAGGTCATTGTGCAGTCCTAGGATTCTACTAACGAGGCTAAATGGAAGGGTTGTAGGTCAGAAGGGGGTACCGAACAACTCTATTGAGGATGGTAGGGTAGTTTGAGTAGAGGGGGTATAAGGGGTGGATACCCTACGCTGGAGGGGGTCTGGAAGGTGATTTTTCAAGGGTACTGTTGATTATCGGGGGGTACTCTATTACAATACGAGGAGGATAGGTAGGGTACCTTCAGGGGGTGGGGTGCCTGGGATCCTCATCACAGAAATGTGGGATAGACAGGGTGAAAGGGGGTAGGGTATTGTTAATCAGGGTAGTATGTACTGAATCAGAGGGTGGTGATAGACGGAGGTGGTATTGAAGGGGTCATCTTGGAGTAGAGAAGGTAGGGTAGAGGGGTGAAGTAGGCGAGAGTAGTTGTGTGGGGGTGGGGTGTGTAGGGAGGGTAGGGTGGTAGGGTCATAGCGGCGGCAGAGGTTCGCACGCGCAATGGCAGGGAATGAGGAGGGAAGATGAGGAATAAGAAGAGGACGGAAGGAGGAGAAAGAGAGAAAACAGCGATGAATGTAGAGTACACGTTGACTACTACAAGCATGTGCTGTGATGAAGAAGGGTGCGACGAGAGGAAGAGAGTAAAGTGGTTGGGAAGGGAACGAGGGAATCAGGGGAATTTGTAGGGAAACCGTAAGAATCATGTGTAGAACAGTGTAGATGATGTGTTGTACGCTTTCGAACATACATTTGACTGCTATGATCGAGTATATGGCATCACATATTATGTGCTAGACAGTTCCGACGAAGATCTTGTGGGAGACTGCCTCCTACGTCCCTGGCGAAGTTTTGGAGGGGGACTCATACAGTCAGAAGATACGGCGGCAGGATTTCTCCATCAAGAAATGCATATTGGCACGTTTGAGTTCATCTTCAAGTTGAAAAAAACTTCCTCTAGGACAGCAAACAGGGATATCGACTCGGATGGGCGAAAGGTCGACTAGTGTATCCCGACACAAACATCTTTTTGGTCACCGTCGTTTGCGAGAATCCGAAGATACAAAGATATGGGTTTATATGCGATGTTTCAGAAGAAATTGCAGGAGTTTGTGCGATCAAGATCAGCTCTGTTCTGCGTAACATTGTCAGTGGAATGGAATTGTTTCTTACGACCTGTTGGGTTCACAAAGATGCTTGTTGAGCTTGTTTGATTCTAATGTTATCTTCCTCATTCTGTTTCATTTGCTGGAATGTTGACATCATGGTCGGGGGAACCTGTTGTACACTGTTCTCTCTTGCTCTAATGTTTGCCGGATCTTGACAAATTGGGTGGGGAGGGGGCGGGGTTTGTACTCGAAATCCCTCATGTTTTACATCAAGGTCAACAGACCTGATTGTTTTGGAGATAATACTAAAGATCCGAGATTGGAGCTCCTCAGCAGCAACACTCTATCAGAAAGCATGTAGAACTCTACTGGAATTAATGTGGAATGGTTTTGGAGATCGTGTCCTTGAATTCGACTGCGTGCGGTCTTTGGATTAATAATCAATTCTCTTGCGATGGATAATGTTGGCTAAGGATGGATGATATTTTTCACATCAAATTTTTCGTTCTTCTTATTTTCCTCATTTTGTTGAGATTTAGGGCTGTCAATTTTTCGCTGATTTGATGTTGCTCTTTTATTTTGAAAAGCATGAGGATACTTTGTAGAAGTTGCGATTCTTGATATAGTTTCCTGGCAGAGTATAATTTGAACTTTGTAGTGGCGTCCGCAGATCTGAGTTTTTATATCGTGATGCAAGAATTTATTTCATGTGATGATCGTGATCATCTAGATGTATGATGATTTCAACCAGATTACTCAATTTTTGCTCTGTTTCTAACGTTGATCCTTGTGCAGTTACCGAGTTGCTATCTGGGGACTTCTCCTGTGAAAAGAGTAATTTTCTCAGGATGTCCACGGCTATTGGATCCGAGTCTCTTAACTTTGTGAGTATCTCATGCCCAAGTTGTTGGAAACAATAGGATGTTGTCCAGAAACCGTGTGTGTATTTTGATCCAGTTGATGTGTGTATTTTGATCCACTTGATGTGTGTATTTTGATCCAGTTGATGTGTTAGTTGTGTCAGCTACATCGCAGTATTGTCATGATTTACGTTGTCTCAGTTCGCAAGATCTGGGGCGCTTGCGTTTGGCATCGTCTATGGTGCAATCCGCACACGGTGAGTGAAGCAGGAGTGTTCAAGTTCTTGTTCTTGACGTTCCTTCAGAGCGTTGAATCGAAAGGAAGCAAGAATTGAGGCAAGAGAAGAAGCTCTAGGTGTTGTCACAACTTTTGTTGGCTGTGGGGAAAGACTGATGATTGCAAACAGCAAAGAAGAAGGCAGAAAGAGCTGCAAAGCGAGCTGCAAAGGCTAAATTGGTTAGTGCATATGAATGCCAATCATTGCTCATTTCTTGCTGCCGTGCACATGTCTTGTGGTGTGCCTTCTTCTCCTTCCTGTATTCCGTTGCTCGGATATTGTTGTTTGCTCTTGCATGCATTATCTGGTACGAGTGTGGTTTGACATCGGCCTTGTTCCTGCAGCAGCAGCCTGAAGCTAAGCAAGAGGATGATTTCTGGGGTGAACTGCTGAAAGACTCGAAGTGAAGCGCAAGGACAAACTTGGTTGCTCTGAAATCTCATCTTTGAAATTATTTAGTATTATTGATCGAACAGTAAATTTTACTTGGCTGGACAGCACTCATTTCAGAGCGATCAAATGTCAGCCACCTACACTGATGCACACATCTAGCAGGACCCCCCACACCCAGCTGCGATCCCACCTGTCCGTTAAACCTCCATGCGGGAGCTGATGGTGTAGTCTGCTGCGTTTGCCGACTGCCTCCGTGTCACCAGGGGAACAAAAGCTTCATGCTCACCTCCAGGCGCTCCTTGCGCGCTTCCTGACATGGCGCCGTGCCGCTGCCTTCGCTCATGAGGAGATACGTTGGAAGGACACAGAGTGTACCGATGACCTGTACAAGAAAAGCTTCAGGAAGAGATTTGACAGATGTCAACCAGGAGATTTGAGAAGTTCCTTCACAGAGAACAAGCATAACTCACAATCCACTCAATCATCGTTGTCCGATCAGCCAAACCCCTGCGATGGTAGCAGGTCGCAGCTAACCCTAAAGACAAACTATCAGCAAGGCATCGAAACTGTGAAAACCTTTGGCTGGATGCGCCCGTGAACTCTGAGCTCTGCATGACGGCGGATAGAAGCTTGCACATCCTTTACCCATCGCTCTTGAGACACTTGTCCCCTGCTCTATTTTTCCTGCAGAGCCTCCTCCCGTTGCGGTTCAGCCACAGTCTCCCTTCCCATGTTGGTCAGAACCTTCTCTCAGCCTTCCTCCCTCTCTTCTCTGCATTCTGCTCCCGCCTTCACTTCTGCTTGTCTCTCCTCTCACCCGGACCCAACCCTTCCCGCACTCCCGACTCTCATCTCTCCTCACGCTCCCCGAGGAGCCATGGCGCAGGAGGTACTCTAGCAGTGCAGTTCCCAGGTAAAAAAAATGCCAGTAGTCTACTAGCCTAGGAAGCCTGTAAGCCCTTTTTATAAGCTCCTCAGACTGAGACTCGCCCGTAGCCTAGTGCCGCAGTGCGCCGGGAGGGCCCCGCCGGGTCGCCCGCGGCCGCCCGGCCGGGGCGCCCGGCCCGGGGGACGGTTCGGGCGAGCCTGGGCGGGCGCGCCCGGCCTGCACTGGCTTTGAGCACCGTGTGACCGGGTCCTCACTCAGTAAGTTAAGTTTGCCAGTTGGGGGACCGTCACCCGACAGCAGTTGGAAGGATTGGGTTTGGTTCTCGCTGTCTTTGCTCAGCTCTTCTCCGAGGCTCGCCGTTTGGCCTGTGCGACAGTGTCAGGGTCAAGCCTCCTCGACTCTCCTGATTGTCCTCGTACTGATTTTTAACTTAACTTTGAGTAAGTTTAAGAAAAAGAGTCCAGGTCCCTGACTCTGTAACTTGCCCAGTGCCCGTCGGGCCGCCCGGCCCGGCGTTCAACTGCCGGAACCCGGGTGGCATCACTGATCATCGGATCACTGAGGTGCAGTCACGGCGACGGTGCCGCGGTGCCGGGCCCGGGGACCGTGGCCATCCGATCATGGGCCGATCCGACGGATCCGACGGTCGGATCCGTGACTTCGTGACTATTCCGAAATCTTAGAATTTTTGAAATTTTTATGTTTTGTGTCGGTTAGCTAATAATAATAATCACCCACTGAAACCCATGGTTGAGCTATATTTTCAGTTATCACTTTCTAGTACCACAACATGATCGGTACCGCCCGGTGTCCCATGACGATTGTCGGGTGTAACCTTTCTCAGTCATACCCGGTAGCCCCCCGATAGTTCCTGCCGGCCCTGACAAAGTTCCTCTATATCCCGACAAAAGTCTGCTTTCGTGGGTTCGAAATCTCGAGATTTGGCTCCTTAAAAAAACGGTCACGTTCTAAGTGTATGATCCCTTTTGATTTTGGTATGGTGGTGGGGCTCAGTCTTTATCTGTTTGTAGATCGCAATCTTACAATGCAAGATGCCGGGGTCTATGATCGCTATCCAAAGGATTGGGACATGACTATTCCTAGTATGGGTAAATGGTTGGATACCAAGGTATCGGAGCGACTAGAAGGTGCGTTCCATAAGGTCCTTGGGCCATTTCGTGAATATCGCGTCGTTGCGTTGACAGAGTTCCACAATCAGCAACATGCCGAGGAGTGGAGGATCTATATTCAGAGTCTTAGGGGGTTGTATGAAAAGGCAATGCGGATGAAAATCAACCCTGCCGTCAACCTTCACAGCAACCTTAGCCAGTACAATTTGCCGAGCTGGATGCAGCAGACGGGAGTTTTCAGTAGCAACAACTTGAATGATTATGGACTCCCCAACACAACTTGGTTTGAAGGCTACAACATAGGTGGGTCTGGCGCGGTTGGGATCGATGTGATTGCATTGGAGGTTGTGTTGATGATCGAATCCGATAGGTTCGACATGCTCAGGCTTACAAACCTGATCAGAGATGGTGTTCAAGAGTATATCATGCAAAGCAATGGGAGTGTATTGAGTGCTGACACATTGGTTAGAGATATGACTGTCAGGCCTGTGGTTTTGGCTCTGAAGAAGGATTGGGGCTCAATCTATCTTGCGTTTGCAAGCTTTACATTTATGATCGTTTCGCTGGCAACCCTTATGCGCCTTGCAAGTTAATAAAGTATTTAACATGATTGACATGCAGTCCCTGTACCAACATCCTTTTTTGTATACAAACACTAGGCGTGAAAGAATTATCGAACAATAGTAGAAAGAGAATGTCCTACATCCTACAGTCATCTGGAACGTTTGCCACTGACAGCATCCATAAAAACTTCAAGAACTTTGAGAACTCATCCATCTGTGAGACTGTGAACCATGTAATTGAGAGTGGAACGGGTCATGATTTCAACATCATCGAGGCCAAAGATCTGCACACATTGATCAAATCTACCGTGCATTCTGGGGGTAGCAATGGTAACCTTACTCCCTTGAAGATGATCTCGTCCAATGAGATGAAGGTGTCCCTTCCACCACCAAGTGGAAAGTCACTGTCATGCGACAAGCAGCACCTGAAGCAGATCATGACGCCATACAATTCATTGTTTGACACTCTCGACGAGCTCAAGAACGCCGTCATCGACCATATCTCCAAGATCAAGGAAGATTGGTCAAAGTCGGGCAAGAATAAGATGGGCAGCAACCTTCAAAACGAGGGTGAAGTCAACATCGAGAGCAAGATCCCAGAGACCTTGATCTCTGGCGCCATGTTCACAAAGCTGTATTCATTGGCTACGAGCAAGAATGGTGAGGGTAAGGATTGGGATGTCAAGAGCCAATATGGAACCTACCGTCTCAGTGCCAAGGCAATCGCCAAGATGAGCACTAGCACCGAACTCGATTGGTCACAGCACATTGAGAACGTCAAGTCGTGGAGCCGTTCGCTTGGGAAGAAGGGGATCGACCTTGTAAGGCATAAGATGATCGCAAAGAACTCGAAGGGTGACACTTATGTGATTGATAACCTTTATTTGCCTTACAGCCCCGAGCCCAACCATTCACTCGCGGTGATCTCTGTAGATATGGGCAACCTTGCCGGTGCATCATCAAAGAAAGATGTGGAAGACGATAGCAACCTTTATTCTGTCTTTTTGAGCGTTCCTACTGAAATGTTCCACAAGCTCCATGGCAGCTTCCGTTATGAGTTGGTCAGGATGCATGCCCCCAAGGTGGTCGAGGCGCTTGGAGATGTTTGCAATACACACATCCGGTCCCAGGTCTATAAGGGTGTCTTGAAGATGAGACCGGACAGCAAGATGACGGAATCTGCGAAGAAGCTCACCGCTCAGCAGAAGGGTAAGTGGATCAAGAGCGCATCGTTGCTCAGGGAGTATCAGAAGGCGTTGGAGACCGAGATGACGGAAGAGGAGCGGAAGCTTTCCAACCGTTTCATTGACAAGGCGTTGCAGACAATGTCACAGAAGATCAAGTGTATCGAGGGTGACATGTTCAAGAACATCTCTAGGGGGAATTATGAGATTGGGAGCATCAACTCAAAGTATGATATGAAGTTCAACTTCAGCCACAAGGTTGGGGATGCCAATGCTTCTAGTTACCTTCAGAAGGAACTTGATCTTGGGCTTGGGAATGTATGGAGTTTGAAATCTCATTGTTTCATTGTTTATTAAGATGTGAATAAATCGTTGTTATTCTTTTGATATGATAAGGCCAGTGAATTCCTCTGCCATCCTGGCGATCTTGAACACCTCAAACAGTGCCATGCTTGAATCACCAACATCCTTCACTGTCGCAATGAGTGGATCGAAGTAATAGTGTTTCTTTGCCGATTTTCTGTAGAGTGCCACTGTGTGCGCGTTTCTTTTCAGTGTTATGACGAGTGCCGTGTTGTTCCTAAGTGCCATAACGGCTCCATGCAGATCCATGATGCATTGTCGTCGCTCGTTGTCGTCCTCGAAGTTTGTGATGAAGTCTTCTGGCAACCTAGCTATAGATCCCACGATCTCCACCCTCTGATAGGTATCGGGTATCTTGACGTGGTTGATGACGTCACGGATGGAGAACATGTGATTTCTATCGTCCTTGGACAGAAGTAATGATTGGATTTTTGATGCCGATGTCATGATGCAGTTCATCTGGCTTTTGGTCGGTGGGCATGAACACACATCCATTCCTACTACTGCTGTAGAGAAGAGGAGGCATGCAGGCGTGCACATGAATGCACCATTCTCGTACAATAGCTGTGATTCGTAGAATTGCTCATCTTGGATTATGCAATCCTTATTATTTTCCTTCTCTTCATCTATATTGTATAGTTCCTTCATGATGCGTTCTTTTTGTTTCAACCGATCCATCTCAACCATGAACTGAAATACATAGTTGCTCTTCTGTAAGGGTAATTTCATCTCTCTCCTTTTTTTCAATATTAAAAAATAAGGGTTGATTTTGACATCATGGGCAGGGTTCTTTTTTTTTGGATACAACCATCCGTTCAAACCTGTTCGAAAGGCTGTTTTTAAACCCATTTTTTTGATTCTTTCGACATAATATATTGAGAGTCTCACTAGGACTGCAACTGCAAACGACGATATGATCGGTACCACCCTACCCCATTCGACATTCATTTGTATCCAACCCATGCAGTCCCATATTATGTCCATCTTCTTGCATTGATCGATTTCCATTGCAGGAATTTCAGCAACAAGCTCTATCTTGAATCAAGAGGACAGTATGGATAACCGTATTCGTGACTTGATGGAGGGGATGGATGAAGAAGTGGAGGAGGAGGAAGAAGAAGTTGAAGAGACCGAGGAGGAAATCAAATCCAAGCAAATCTCGAAAGAGAAGAAGCCAAAAAACAAGGGGGGAGCAAAGAGCGAAGCGAAGGGTGAAGCGAAGGGTGAAGCAGCAAAGAGCGAAGCAAAGAGCGAAGCAAAGAGCAAAGCAAAAGCGAAGCAAGAGAAGGGTTCAAGTAAGGGGGCTGCTACTGCGAACAAGAAATCAAAAAATAGCAAGGAGGATTCGACCGAGGAGAGAGAAACAAAGAAGGCCAAAAAGGAGTCCCAGACTGAGACACAAGAGAAGAAGCCCAAGGATCCAAAGCCAAAGAAGGCACCGAAGCCCAAGAGACCCTTTAGGAAGGTGGAGACTGATGCTCTGAAGCTTAGGAGAAAGGACCTTAGCCACAAGATCCAGGTCAACAGAGCTCAGCTCATCCTTGCCCAGTCCAAGCTCCTAAAGTATGACAACGAGCTCCATTATCGTGAGATTGGGTTGGATGATTCCGATGATCTCCTTGCTATGGCCATGCGAGATGAGAACGGTGATGAGGTTAGGACTGGAGATGAAGAAAAAAATGATGAGAGAAGTGGTGATCAGTGAAAAGTCATATAGATACCTGTAGTCGGGTATATAGGGAGCTTTGGTTTTTAGAACCTTCTGTAAGGAAATTTCAAATAAATTCATGATCATGCATCATAGTAAGGATATAATTGATTTCAAGACAAAGGACATGGGCATGAATAATGTGTTCAAAAACTTTAAATTCACAAGTGACTGTCGCATAAGTGTAAGCGATCTGGATTCATCCGATAATTCATCTGAAAGTTCGTCAGTGAATTTATCCGAGAGTTCATCAGATACATCATCCGAATCTCAACATGTCAAGACAACAAAAATTAGGAGTGAAGACATTGCACTCAAGGATATTGTATTCTATCATGAGAGGTGTGTTGTGAACTGTACCCCTTCAATCGCTTTTGGGGCTCCAATGCAAGACTACATCGAAACGCAAGTAAATTCAAACAAGAACAAGTGGATCTATGAGATATTGGATGGCACGAGAGAGAAGGACTCCGTCCTCATAGAGACAGACGAGTTTGTATTCCTTCCCGATACCCACGCCATGAACAATGGAAGTGTATACAATTGGCTGTGTATTGTAAAGGATAGGAAGTTGAGGACATTGAGAGATCTGGACGCTAGGCACATACCCATGTTGAGGAAGATGAAGATGACCTGTATTGATTATATCCAGAGTGTTACACAGCACAATGCTCATAACATCATGGCATATGTGCATTATCTTCCAAGTGTCTACCAACTCCACGTCCATTTCTGCGCGCCCTACGGTTGTTACACCACTATGGATGCCTTGAAGATCTATCCTTTGGATTCTATTATCAGTAACTTGGGCATCGACAAAGATTACTTCAAAAAGACAAGCATCACAACCGTTGTTTATGGGAATGCAACACTCCTCAACATTTACAAGTTACCCTCTTCACTCGCCAATGCATCGTCCAAGTTTGCGATCGATCTCAAGAAGAGTGCATGCCCGTGCTGTAAGGGGAGATGCAACAAGTGTAAGGGTAGAAGGTTACAGGACGCTGCGATAGTCTATAACAGCAAGAATAAAAAGAAGTGTTAGACTTTATTACATTGGAACCACTTATGAATGTATATAAACTAACAGGGCCTTCTTACTATAAAAATAAAATAGGAATAAGACTATAACACATGACTAGCATCTTTAGCAACAACGTGAGCATCGGCCAGAGAACCGGCACGAGGATTGATTCATCTGCAAAGCACATTGTGGCATGCAGGGTGGATCAAGACTTTTTCCGGGAGCAGGGTGAGCCGATGGAAAAGATTTTGAAACAAAAGTATCTCTATGCTATGCAGAAAGATGAGATCGTCATGAACTGCTCGGTCAGGACAGACAATACGACAAGGAAGGTATGCTATCCCTACGTGATTACGACGCTTGGCCAGGAGGTGACAGAAGAGAATAAGAGGGAGTTGTTAGATTATTACAACAATATCGAGATTGATAACATTGTCGCTGAGGATACGCAATATCCATTCCCCAGACAGCTCAGGTTCCAGGGCATCAGTGTCGGGACAGGCTGGGCATCGGACTTGAGTGGTGACACCTTTGCATCCGCCCTGATCGGTGGGATGGTCACGATCATCAATGGAAATTTCCCAGCCTTTACGGGTGATCTAGTTCAGTGGTACTTTGATTTCGAAGAGGTTATGTTCGATGTGGAAGGTTACAGGCACCCGGACACAGCCCATCTCAGGCCCGGTACCGTAGAGAGGGTTGCAAGGAGGAGATATTTGGGCAACTCAGACCCTGTCGCGAGGCGCGAGGCTGAATTGGAATCGGTTGCAAGGAGGAACATGTACGGGACCTACAAACAGTACAACCAGGGGAAGCATAACGTCTTCTTTATGAAGTCCTTGATGCCAAGGAAGGACGCACAGGGCAATATTTTAGAGATCGCCACCGGTGACCTTCAGAGAGTGATTGGGAAGGTTATCAATGGTGGAGGCCCTTGGGAACAGGTCGATATCATGATTACCAATGTCTTCCTTCCATGATGTGCCAATAGGCTTGTATTTAAGGGTTTATGTTATTCCTAATAAATCCATTAAGAAGCATTATATTTGTATCGCAAAATGAACGCTAGCGTAGGCCAGATCACTGGGACCAGGGTGGATTCTGCTTCCAAGCATATCATTGCATGTAGGGTGTCGGAGGATGCATTGAAAATCCTCAGTAACCCAGAATTCATCCACAGGATCCATCTCGATAAGTACAAGTATTGCATGCATAAAGACGAGTTGGTTCTTTGTGTTGCAAAGCCCTTCAATCCCGTCAATCGCATGACTTACAAGGTGAATCGGCAGGCCTATCCACCCGTTATCACTACTTTGGGTGAAGTCACAGATGACCTGAAGCAGGAGATTATGGACATATATGCATCCGAGACGCAGCTTGAATATAATCATGCCAAGTCTGTTGCAAGGCAGTTGATACCCGAGTTCCAGTTCCAGGGTGTTGCGAATGCCCTCGCCTGGGCCACAATGAACCATGGGGACAACATAGCTTCTGTGCTTGTATGTGGGATGGCGACGATCATGAATGGCCATTTCCATTGTTACACGGGTGATTATCTCCAGTGGTATTTTGACTTTGAGCATTCGAGATTTTCAAAGGATGGCAAGAGGATCTATAACAACAATCTGCAACCATTGGATCAAGACGAGAACAATGACGCTGAAAGGACAAGAAGGGAGTTCTTTGAACGCAATGCAATGGGGAATTACAAGAATGAGGCGACAAAGAGCCTTTACAAGAAGAACATCATCTACCCAAAGCCCTTTTACATGAATGGCAGCTCCTATGGAGATTCTATCCGTGTCTTTGGCAGGGTGATGAATGGTGGAAGACCGTTTGAACCCATCGATGTCTTGATCATGAGTCAATGCTCTTGAAAGTTTTATTCAAACTTAAGAATCAACACTCTACCAGTCCCTCTTCAATCCAAGAAAGTCATGGTGGTAATAATCGATAGCTAACACCTCCATCTCTGGATAGTATGCTTCGAAAGTGATAGCATAGGAAATGAAGTATCCGATGATACTCAAAGAAATAAAGAAACAACCATCCTGGTATACCCAGTTTCCTCGCGATTTGGTGTAATAGATGTGAAAGAAATCATGCATTTTCTTATTGATGTCAATCTGAGCATAAACGTAAGCTATAAGATTCACATACATACACATCAATGCTTACCTTGACATCGGGTTTGAAGTAAGTGTTACTTTTTCTTGAGATCATATTCTGGGTTTTGATTCATTGTCAGGTTGTTATTGATTATTGATTTCTAAATTTATTTGTCATGGAGTTTACTGCTCTTTTTTATACTCCATCTGCGTTGAATGGAATTTATCCTTGTCAATACCCGATCTCTTCCTATCGTTGATGACCAGATGGAACCAATCGATATCCATGACGGCGGTCAATGCACACAGTCCAAGCACGCAGAAGTTGTAGATGGTATGAAACGCCTTTTCCTTTTTCATGGTCCTACCTATGGAAGTGCTAGCTTGAATGATGTCATGTGTACCCTGTGACGACCTAACATCAAAAAGCATGAATCCCAAGTATGCAATAGAGATGAATGCACTGTGCACTACCCTTGCATAGGGGAAATACTTCCCATTGACAGGCCCAAGCCTCTTGTCGAGTTTAAGGTCGCCGATGAGCGAGATCAGAAAGGATATTGCGAGAAGTGAGTTGACGGTGATCCAGATAGCATACGAGCGGTTCCAGAGGCTGTATATGGTGTTTGCATTGCCAGCCCATGGATTTCCCCTCAGGTCACAGACAACGTAACCCCGATTCGACATGATCTGGATAAATGCTTTCATGAAGGATGCCATGAAAAGGAATCCATGATTGATGAAGATTCGATTCGAACCGTTCACTGGCGTGGACTTGTATGACGTCACAAGGAAGAGGAGGAAGAGGACGATAATAAACGACGCACCGATCACGAAGGGTGCGCCTTGCAGAGGAAACGTCAAGGGCCATAAGAGCTTGGAAAGGTTGTTTATGATTGTGGGGCTATCCTTCTTCCCTATCGTCAAGAGACCGTAAAAGAACCAAAGTACTGAAACGGAAGTTAACATGGAAAGACCCGAGTTAATGGCGTGCATGAATGTACCCACACGTAGCTCTACCACTCTCCTTGAAAAGGCAATGAATATACAACCAAACAGGGATACGAATGATGCAAACCCAACGGTGCAGGCCGACCAGAGTGTAAAGGATGGCAAGGATGAATTGGTATTCGGGAAGCTCATGGCAAACCCCAGTGTTCCTAGCATGAATGCGTTGAAAATGATGATTTTGACGAACCATACAAAGATCCTCTCTGGCCCATAGGCCTTGTCTAGAAGATCAGCAGCTTCTTCTAAAGTGAGGCTGTTCTCTTCAACGAGATCACTGACTTCATTCTTGAGCTCCTCGATATTGGAGGGTTTCAAGGTCTCGTAGTCCACATACTCCTTACTGGGTTCGGGCAAGCTTTCATCCTCTAGTTCTATCTCTCTGAGAGTAGAGAGAGGTACGAATCTCGAAGGGCCCATGGGTGTGTTCAGTTTTCTAAACCTTGGCCTGATTATGTCATCCTTATCATACTGTTTGTTAGACTTGAGTATCTTAACGCTGTCCCTTGATTTCTTTGAACTGATAGGATCCTTCTCTACCCTCTTGATCTTCTTCATCTCTTGATAAAAAAGTTTAGGAAGTATCATTTCAATCGTTTGCTTTTATTATCTTGCAATTGGATTGATATACAATTAAATAACTCTGTACACTGATTCATATGAGTTCATTGAACAGATCTTTCAAGTGGCCTACAATCTCAATCAGCTCATTATGTGCTTTCTCTTCCCAGATTATCTTTCCGTTCCATATGATCCTAGCGATGAAACAGCCTTTTCTGCTGATGCAACAGTGTATTTTGTGCCTGAAGGAGAACTTGCCTGTCATTCTCCTCAGATCAGTTATCTTGAAGTAGAGACAGTTGTTCTGCTCGTCCGTCCTTGGTATGAAATAAACACACTCTCTATATTTTTTCTCGATTTGCTTCTGCAGGTGGCAATCATGCGAAACTCCAATGTACTTGCCAAGGTTGCATTTTACAGACAGCATATCAATTAGGGCCTCGCTACTATCCAGTATATCTTCTTTCAAGACTTCATGTATGACATGATTGAAGTCATTCAACGATTTGAACCCCTTGAAAAGTAGAAAGTGTCCATGTCGCTTGAACATAAGATTCCCATGCAAATGTGATAGACTCACTACTTGCCTATGCTTGTTGATCAAACAGGGTGTGTATTCCTTTTTGAATATGTCATCCACATCACACCTTTTCATAGTGACGATCTTCCCGCATACATTGAAGATCTTAATGCCCTGTTCTGGATAAAAACCATAAAGATCACCCTCATAAAGGGAGACAACCAATGGATTCGATGACATGCATAATAATGGCATATTAATCAATTCTATGCATGCATTGTTTTTCTTGAATTGCTTTATGTCTTTGGATGCAATGGTTTCAAATGAAAACCCACTGTTCTCCTTATTCAGGGTGCAGTCTTTGACCCAAACTGCTTTATCCATGCCCACAATAAAGACATCACATGTTCCACATGTATCGAGCTCGGCGGAAACGGTTCTGTAAATGGACTCCGTTGGGCTGTACTTGATCCTAACACTCCACTGCAAAGCCATGACTGTAATCGACGTTGAAGATATTGATATCTCCACCCACGAACCTCTTCTTCTGTAGGTTCCAACTTGTACCCTCTATACGGACCAGGGTATATGGAGAGAGCTTAGATAGAAAGCGCAAGTTCTTGTCTGTCTCTATGCAAATCACCGACGCCTCCTCCAATGGGCAGACGATGACGAGGTTTGAACTCTCCTGTACGTCCAGGATAAGTGCGTCAAATCCCACCCCCATAAGACGTAATTTTCCTTTTTTGGTTGAAAAACAATGAAACTGGGGAGTGATTTGAAGAGATTTGTGTTCAAGGTCTTAACTCCAAGGTCCGTGACAAGTTGTATTCGAAATGTACTCAAAAATAATACTGCTGCTATTCGTACTACACCCGTTCCCGGTAAGATCGTGCCATATAGTCATCAAGGGGATAGCGTCAATCCTCCGAGAGAATGTCTGTTACAGCAAGGACGAGCGGCAATGTCTGAACAAGATCATCCACTGTCCAAATTTCACCCGTAAATGTGAAGTACAGAGAGAAAACGAGAAGGTTATATCTTCCCTAAAGTCGTTGAACTTCATGATAGATAGCGGGTTCTACACTGAAGTCTTTGAGATCAAAGATGCTTACGGCTACAGCATTAAGAAGCAAGACAAGGATTAAAATCATTTCCTAAACTTGATTGTATGTATTCCTTGATTTGTATGCAATGGTGTCACTGCTCGGCCGAATAAAGCTTCTAGGTTCACGTTCGTTTGCCGCAACTTTTCCTCTTCTTGCCTCCTCCTCTCCTCTTCTTCAATCCTATTCTTCTTATCGTCTTTGTCCATCATGAAGATCAGAAGGAGCCCTGCCACTGACACTACCAAGAGTGCCTTGAAGACCGTCATCTCTGTATCCCTTAGGTTTTGGAGTATGACAAACTTGCCGTCCAACGGGTCAAAGACGATCTGTACGTCGTCATAGACATCAGCATTCGTTACACTCCTTCTGTGGAAGTTTCCCATTACAGCGAGCATGATCACCAGGACGATGTCATCGTCATTGACTATGCTAGAGTTCCGGAAGTCATCCAACGAGCTCACCCCGGTGTAATTTGTGATTATAGATCGAATCTCCTTTCGGAGTGCAGAGACAATGGTCGTATCTTTAGGGTCTACTATAATGCTTCCATCCTTTATCATAAAGACCTCCTGCATCTTAGAAACGAACAGACTTTCGTGATCGGTCAATATATCATTCGCTAGAGCAATGGATAAGCACACACTTAAAAAAATGGTTCGAAATAGTATTGATTTCATTTCTTTGTTTTAACACGATCAAAAATGCAATCCTCAAATAATGGCAGCTCATCCTCTAAACATAATCAAAATCACGTTATTACCTCACCCGCACTCAAGAGCCTCTTACAAAAAGAATCCATGATACAGAGCTCGTCCGCAACGGACCATCTGCAGATTATACAGACAAGAAAAAGGCAGGAGCTAAACGATTACATCCTTGTATGCACGCAAAGACTAGGGACTGTCATCGATCCAACTAGCAGCCTTCATGATAATAGCAACAGCAAGCACAACTCAGTCCACGCCATCGTCAAGCGCACCTGCAGGTCTTGGTGTTCATAAAACTTTTTAGAATCGATCATTTCATAGTCGGGCCAGACCCATAAGCGTATCGAAGGGGATATGCTCGCCTTTGATATAGAAACGACTGGATTAAACTTTTACAAAGATTCAATCACCTGCATATGCATCTATGACCCTGCCATAGGGAAAGAGAAAAGTTTCCATTTCACTGTCGGTGACTTCAAGGAAAAGAGGGAGAGAGCGGAAGAGTTCATGAGAGAGTTGGATGACGCGGATCAGATATGCACATTCAACGGGATACAGTTCGACATACCATTTGTACAGGTGCAATTCAAGGCGGATCCGGACAGGGTTGCGATGTGGCTGTTAAAGACAGTAGATATATTTCACAAGTACAAGTCACTCCACAACCATACATTCTCGTTGGATAGCGCGTTGATGTGTAACAATCTCAAGACCAAGACTTCGAATGGTTATGAGGCGGTCAAGATGGCGAAGGAGGGCAGGTTGAAGGAGCTTGAGGAATATTGCATGATGGACACCAAGTTGACGTATGAACTCACAATGCTACCGTATTTCAACGCACCTGAGCAGAAGACATGGAAGAAACACTAAGGCGATGAAAATCAGTGCCATCCTTTTCGTGACAGTCTTTACCCTTACAGTGCTCATCACTCTATACATTCCCGACAACCTGACCATAGAGATTGCAGATGCGATCTCCAGGCCCTACCCTATCAACTATCGATACGAAGCAAACACTATACAGTACCACCTACAAAAGTCTAGCCAGGACGCTACCAAGTCCCCGGCTTGCACCTCACTCTATGTCATCACATCAACCATCTACCTATACAGCTTATACCTTATCACCTTAAGCCGGTATGTAAAGAAGTGCAAGGACAGTGAATTAGACTATGAATTGCTATATCCACTTTAAAGATTTAATAAAACCTTTATAAATCTAAATCATGGGTGCATAGGTGATGGAGCTAAAAAGCGTCTCGTAGACACTGGTAGCGTTTCCACTCGTAATGGCGATTGGCTTCAAGAAATCCCTATTGTTGAGATTATTCAGAGCATTGGCATGACCACAGAATAGGCTCTTGCTCTTGCTGCTCGACCAGCACGAGTACTTGTTATAGTCATTGAAAAGATATGCAAGAAGGATGCCTACAAAGACGATCCGCAAAAAGGATGATGCCATGTTGATCATTGTACCGCTCTTGTCGTCCTGCCTTGTAACGCCATAGACGTTACCATCTTCACTCACAGTCCCACCAGTCGATCCAATCCTGCGGAAAACGCAATAAGATACGGTGGCGAAGTAGAGGACGATGGTGGCAAGGTATAAGCTTGAATATGTCCGGGTCACCGTGTGATCGTGCTGTGAGGTCCAGGTATCGGTCATGCTCACGATCTCATTGATAGCGGCAAAGAGGATGGCAAAGAGGATCACAAGCCTTGGATGGAATTCATAAGCCAATGCCCTGTTCTTAGAACTCTTAAACATCTTCATCTTCATGTTAGTGACCTGTTCTACCACCTTGAGCTGTTGAATAAGAACAAAACCCAAGATGATCAATTGGTACCTAACGTAGGTGGCCTGGAAGACCCATTCTAGCACGTTGTTAGAGAGAAGAGAGAAGATGCTGATACAGAACAGGGGGAGCAAGAGCCAATCGGAGAGAAGGACGATGAATCCTAGCTGCTTCTCTGTAAAGATCTTCTTCACCCTGTTACTATTCGCATTGTTTTCGATGGCCTGGTACATCTTGCGGATGAAGTTGATCTCATCCTGGCGGTGGTACTCAGTATCGGAGATCTTGATGATATCTCCATGGCGGTTCATGATGTAGATCTGTTGAATGATGCTAAAGACCAAGATAGCAATGGCAAACATGATGTTATTCCTAGGAACCATCCGATCATTCGTCCTGACATAAGAGAAGACCATGATGCCAAAGAGGGTGAGGATGTGCCAGGCGGCATAGTAGTACCTCTTATCCACACCACCGAGCTGCTTGAAGTCGACATAGAGAAGCTGCCAGGAGGTGCTGATCCACATCAAGACGGTGATCATAAACATGGGACTCCATGCAGAGGAGAATGTCATGCTCGATTCATGATTCTCATAATTTGCAACGGCAGAGTAACGCTCAACCATGCAGATCCCCTTGGCTCTGGTCTGGTCCATGATAGTCCCACCAATGGCAGAGGTATAGTTCAATGTTCCATCGACACAGTAGTAGTAGCTGTCCTTCCGCCTGTCGTCCGTGATGGGAACGTCCTGGAAGCTGACCGGGACTGTTGGCACTGGCATGAACCCCTTGTCCTGATCAGTAAGGATTGTGGTGATACCATAAAGGGTAGGGTGGATGGTGTCGGGAAGATCGCCGTATTTGGACGTGAAGGAAGTCCGTAGGATAGGGAAATTTCCTACATTCCTCCCCATCCCGTACAGGGTTAAAACCAGAAGAAGGAAAGAAAGGATAGCGTGGATGAAGAAGCTGATAATAAACCAGATCCTGGTATACTTACCTTCATTGTAGATCTTGTTTAGGTGCTGCAACTTCTCTATAGCAGTCTTGTCTAGAGGGATAGGAGCATTGCTCTGGGGTGCAACCAGCTCCTGCAACCCAGCATTCCTGGGATGGTATGTGTAATTTACGTTATGTTGGTTCATCTCTTGTCAATAATAGAATCGAAACGATAAAAAGTCTGTTAAATATTGTTGGTATTCCTTGCTGCGTTGACAATTGTTTCTTTGATATTGTTTATTTCACTTCCTCATTTATATGTGAACTGCTTTGAAAAATTATGGCTAGATCCGGTCGCACATTAGAAGGTTGCTATGAAGACTTGAACAACCACATTGGCATACCTTGCTCATCAGGACGTAGTATATACAAAAAGCTACCATGAGGTTCACAAAAACGTGCCAAAGCACATAGTAAGTGACATCACTATCAGAATCAGTCAACACAAATACAATCACTAACCCCGAAAGGCTCGCCTTATCATTGGTGCAAGTGATGCTGACGTTTGGGAATTTAGTCTTGATTTTATCCTGCATGCTATCGTTCCATTCATCGTAATCGTAAAGTACAACGGTGTCATTCTTGCTCACACAGCACTTGCCACCGAACTTCTCTACATTACAGACCTTGCCCACGCTACTCCTTAGTCTTTCAACACGGCTCATATTCTATAATGTATCCACGAGCATTGAGTTTTATATCTACATTACCATATAAACCGTATAACCCGTCCCTTTGAAGAAAAGAAGAAGAATTGATCATGTCAAATCACCACAGACAACCACCAGGTCGAAACAATCTATTACCACCAAATCAGCCACCAAACCCACAACCCAATCAACAACCACCAGGCCGAAACAATCTATTACCTCCAAATCGACCACCACAAAACCAGCCACCAAATCAACAACAACCAAATCCGAATCATCTATTACCTCCAAATCGACCACCAAACCCACCACCACAAAACCAGCCACCAAATCAACAACAACCAAATCCGAATCATCTATTACCACCGAATCAACCACAAAACCAGCCACAAAACCAGCCACCAAATCAACAACAACCAAATCCGAATCATCTATTGCCACCAAATCAACCACAAAACCCACCACATAACCCACAACCCAATCAACAACAACCAAATCCAAATCATCTATTACCACCAAATCAACAACCAAACCAACCACAAAACCAGCCACCAAATCAACAACAACCAAATCCGAATCATCTATTACCACCGAATCAACAACCAAACCAACCACAAAACCAGCCACCAAATCAACAACAACAACCAAATCAAGTACCACCAAACCCACCACAAAATCCGAACCGACCCCAAAGACAAAGAAAAAGGAAGATATTGCACAACAGGACATTTTTAATTGGTGAAAAGGACAGAATAGACACTGTAGTATCAAAAAGATGGTCTTCAGGTGGAAACATACTCAATGAAGAAAGAAACAAGAGGGTAAAGATAAATGAAGATATGAACGAATATAGAAACATCGATGGCGATGATGAAGTTGACAGAAGAGAATGCATAGATTTGACATCTGAAAGAGGTATAGAGCACTTAGACGCATACCACGACGATGAGATCAACATAGACGAATACAGACGAGAGAACGATTGGAGGCAATGGGACCCAGAGGACAGCCAACAAAGAGCAGCGGACAGACATATAAGGAACTACATCACAAACCGGAGTGTCGAGGGGCATGTGTATAACCTACAGCCCGAGGCAAATATAACGGAGCAGGAGAGGTTGATCCTTTACAAGTGGACAGAGGCCGTGATTTTGGAGATATCCGTGGCGCAGTCGATTGCAGGTGCCGCCACTATGCTGAGCATGGACCAGGTCATGGTACCCGTATATCATGCCATACCGTCGGGGAATGAGATCATAACCTACGACGTCCTGCGCAAGAACGCGGAAAAGTTGCTGGAGATGCAACTCAATCCATTGAAAGGTTACATTGAGCTATACAACAACAATCCGGCGGAATACAGGCGTATGGTGGTAGAAAGGGTAAGACAGGCCCAACGAAACAATGCGAACAATGTGATAGATATCCCAGGTGTGATAAACATTAATGATATCAATCCAAATATCCCCAATGCAGAAGATAGAGTGCAGGTCAATTTTGACGCCGAGGTAGCAAGGAAGAGCATGTTCAACGTCAAGTACCTGAGGACATTGGCAGAGCAATATGTCAAGGCACAGAAGAAATTAAGGACCCTTTCACCCATCGCGTGGAATTCATTGGACGATGCGTTCAATCTTGTGGAAGACGTTTTCTTGCAACAGGGTCTGAACCTGGAGAATTACATATGCAGGGATCCAAGGAAAATGCAGACAGAGTTTAAACTCAGCAGGCGGGAGTTTATCACCTTTATATCGAGACATCCTCTTTTACACACACACATATGCAAGGCAGCAGGGGCAAGCCTGCAGGCTACTATGAACCTTAGGGATGGGTCGTACTCCTCCTTAAGAAAGTACAACACAAACGACACAAGGACTCTTGTATACATATTCAGGACAAAATACGAAGTGAGGAGATCGGTAAATGAGCTGAAACTTCTACTCGAGGATGTAAAGGAGAGACCAATGCTCTACTTAGAATACTTCTTGGATACAACCAAGGGAATACAGCAGACAGGATTTCAGAAATGGCTAGTACGCGATGATGCTCCACAGTTCCCTTATCAGAGGGGTGAACCGATGCCAGCACCCCAGCCTGCAAGGAATAATAACTTATTGCCTGGTTGGATGAACAATATCAACATTATGGGAACAGACATTCAAGATATGGCCCAGATCAATCCTGGCCCAGTGGGTCTACAGAGGTTTGAAGTAGAAAACATTGATCAAGACAGGGATGTGGACAAACTTATTGATACTGTTATTTCAAACGATGCCGACACAGATCGGAACACTACAAAAGAGAAGGAGGTAGATAAGGTCTTTGTGCACAATAACAACATGACATCACTCAAAGATATTATAGGCAGAAGCCGATTCTTTTCATATTGAACATGAAAACAAAACCGATAGGTATGAGGATTTAGAATTATTTGGCTAATAAACTAATGTTTGAAACGATCAGCTATAAGGAAGAACGGACCAATGGAAAGAGTTGGTCGACTCCTTGGCACATGCACTCAGCCAGGCAAGGTCGTGAACGTTCTTGTTGAATTCCGGCCTCTCACACTCTGTAAACAACCACACAGCTCTCAGTGTCCTTTCATAAGGTCTGAGCTTCTCGCAGTGCCTGCAAGCGGCACAGATGAAGCAGAGCCTTGCCAGTGCGTTGGCAACATGGTTGCTACTACTTGCATCCATCACACACCCTTCGGGGATCATGCCGACCTCCTCCACGGATCTAGATTCTGGCTCGACAAGAGCTCGCTTGCAGTAGACGGCAAAGATATCACCGCCCAAGTCGGAAAACAACACGCTCTCTTCAGCCTTGTTGATCAATGCAAGCATGCCATGATGCTCAATGGACAATGGAGCGCCTCATCCAGCTCTCCCATCCACCTATACTCTCTCTTCTCCTCTTGCTATTGCACCACGATACAGTGCTTACTTCTTACCCCACATCCTTCCCTCCCTCTGTCTCAACCTTGCCATCCTCATCGTATTCTACAGTCTTGAGTTGCTCTCTATTTTCTTCTAGCTTGCTATCAACATAACTGGACAATCGTATCGGACCATGACCAATTCTGCAACTCTCATCATCCCTACTCCTCCTGCTCCCCTTCAAGACGCTCACCATCCAGCTCGCCGGTGCGTCCAGGCCAATTTCAAGATCACCTGTCATGACAAGGGCGGGATCTTGCTCCGGAGACTCATCCTGTCGGTCAGCGTCAGCTCCACGGGCATGCCTGTGGGAGCCTATCGCGAGCTGATGTACCACTTGGAGTCGGCCATGTCTGGGGGCTGCTTGTCGTGGACGGACGAGGAGGAGGACGAGATCGTCATCACGTCGGACCACGACCTGGGGGTTGCGCTGAAGCATCTGTGGACGCGAGAGGGCTGTACGATACGGCTTCAGTACCGAAGGGAAAGCTTGATTCCTGGTTGGAAGTTGCCGCATGAGAATTGATGCAGGCATTTCGCTGCATGCCTCTTTTTGGCCTTCACTGTCTTAGAAGCAGTACCAACGTCAGGAACATAGTTGACGCATTTGCAACGCGTATCCTAAGCCTCCCGCTGCCGATGACCCATCACAAATCGTTGTGTAGTTGTGTTGCAAATCTTTTCTTTTTTAAGAACCGAAACCTTCTTTTACGAACCGGATCCATTTTCAGGTAGCTCGCCATTCGTTTCAAGACTGCATGTGCTATGATCAGTTAGTACACTGGTGACTCCTCGAGTCCTAAAATAAGAGGTTGGCACAGACCGCAGCACTGACTTCCCAGTCACTCAGATCGGACTCAGCAGCAACTCAGTGGCAGTTTCACAGTCAGGGCCGCCCGGCTGCCTGAGTGTCGGTTGCCCGCTGGCAGCTCCGATCACGACACCGGCGGTCGGATGAACTTGTCCTGGCGGCTTTCCGAAGCCGCAAGTGGCCCGGGCCGTGGGCAGCCTTCAGTGCCTTGAACCGCCGTAGTCGGAACGCCGCGCCGCCGCCGGGCCGCGCGCACAGCTGAGCCGGAGTCGCGGCCACACTGCCAGACACCGGGAGGCTGCGGCCGCCCGGCCTTGCCAAGTTGAAGGCCGCTGTGCCAAACGGTACTGTAAATGATGCACTGCGGCACTGACATCATAATGACGGTCGACCCCAAGTCAAGTTAGGCAACTGAGTTGAAACAAGGCTGAGCCTGACAGTTTTTGCTGACTGAGACCGAGTTTAATATACACGAAACCAGAATTCAATAGAGTCGGAGGAGCACTCACATGAGTGATAGACTGTATGAGGCTAAGATGTCACAGTGACACCCACTGAGCCGCTGAGTCCATATCATGCCGCGCGCGGCACGCGGCGGCCGCATGATGATGACGGCGAATATCACAGTACGGTACCGTGAGCGGTGGGAAACTGCCCGGTAGGCTCGGCGGTGACCCTCGGTCGGCGGGCGCGGACGACGGTTCCGACACTGTTCCGAAGTTCACCGTTCGAACTACGGTACTCCGGCTGACCGTCAGTCACGGTGGCGAACTCGCCGGGAAGTTCACTCGGCCGGGCCGCACTGCGGCAACTTGACCGAAGCCTGACTCTGCACTGCCAGTGCCGCAGTGCGGCAGTCGGAAGTCGGACTAGTGTGTGACTACTGAGTTTAATCGGTTCAAATCGATTGGTACTGATTGTTTTCGATTTGGTGGAATTCGAAAGGGGATGGGATTTGTGCATGGCAGAGGGGAAGGATGACAACGGGGGAGGAGGACGGAGAGGGACGGAGAGGTGAGGAGGAAGCATGTGTCAAAGGATTGTGAGGTAGGAGAAGATGAAGACGCAGGGGAGGGAAGTCAGGGACACCAGCCATAGACAGCCAAGGACATGGATCAATGCCCAGCTGCTTGTGGGGGAGTTTAAATATTTCTGCGTGTCGTGCTAACGAGCTGACGAGTCAGAGGCAGAAACAACTTGATGTTTGTGCCTGATGGAATTTGATGCGCAGGGGGACTAGCTTCCATCCTCCATCGAGGAGAAGGGTGAGGGTAGAAAGATCCTGGAATGGGAATGCCCAACACTTTGAAAGTTTAAAGGGATCGCGGCATGTGATGGAAAGAAATGGCCTCGAACAGGAAAAGTAGTTCGAGGAAGAGAAGGAGATGAGGGAACGTCTCAATCTTTGCTTGGTTGTGATATGCCTCAACCTCCTTTGGTTCCCGCTTCCAGCGGCGGTTGGACAGGACATCAAGTCGGCTGCGGTGTTGTGGGGAGGAGGAGCGGAGAGGCTGAGGGCGACTGCTGTCAGTCTGAGAGGAAAGACATCCGTATGCATCGGAGAGACCGTCCAAGTAGAGTGGAGCATCGCTAGCCATCTTGAGTTCGTGATAGAGCTCAGCGTATGCAATGAGACAGCAGATTCCTGGCTGGTGAGAACGAGCGTCATAACTGAGCCACATCCTCCCTCAGGGGTGGAGGAGCTGCTAGTGAACCTCTCCTCTCCTGCGGCCAGGCTCCCCTTGTGCTTCCGAGCATGCATGATCCTGCTGAGCAACGGCACCATCGTGGGATGTAGCCAACAGGCGCAGCTCGTGGGGGTAGTCGATGCGTGCGGTGTGTGCCAAGGGGACAGCTCCGTGTGTGCAGGATGCGATGGAGTCCCTTGGAGCGGCCGGAAGTTTGACGCGTGTGGAGTTTGTGAAGGAGACAATTCGACATGCTCTGGTGGCCTCCTCCTCCTCCTCCTCCTCCTCCTCCTCCTCCTCCTCCTCCTCCTCCTCTTTGTATCCTTGTCATAGTCGACCCATTGATCCCCTTGTATCATCCTGCCCAGTCCTGTTACTGGCCATCTACTTCTGCTCCTCGTCGTGTCTTCCCTGCTGATCTCGAACTTGACAGGTTGCGATGGGAAACCAAACTCGCTCCTCGCGTTTGACGCTTGTGGAGTGTGCGGAGGAGACGCCTCCTCCTGCAGGGGCTGTGATGGTGTACCTAACAGCAGGAAGGTGCTCGACGCATGCGGCGTGTGCGGAGGAGACAACAAGACTTGCACGGGATGCGACGGGGTGGTGGGGAGCGGCTTAAGGTTTGACTCCTGCAGCAACTGCGGGGGCAACGACTCGTCCTGTGCCCTCCCCTACATGGTTGAATTTTCAGGTCCTGCCCTGTTCTTTCCTCCCTTACCTGACTGACGTGCTGATCAGGGGAAGTGTGTCGAGGAGGAGCTGGAGGAGCGAAGCTCCTGTGGCAGGGCCCCTCCAACAGGAGCAGCAGCTGCGTACTCTGCCTGTTTCGCTCTGGGAACGTCCTGCCTTACAGCTGCCGGCCGTTCCCCCCCCCTCGAGGGACGAGTGGTCTTCTCAGATGGCAAGAGGACAGCATATGGAAGGATGTGACGTCAGCACAGGGCCGCCTCCTCTTCTTCGCCGTCTCCTGCTCGTGCAGGGAGAGTGATCTGGTGCAGTGGTCTAAGGGAGGATGCAACGTGCTGGCGAGGAGCGGAGACTTGGCGGTTGGACCTCCCGCAGACGTGTGCGGGGTCTGCGGAGGGAGCAACTCAACATGTGCAGGATGCGATGGGGTGCCGAACAGCGGGAAGCAGGTAGACCTGTGCGGGGTGTGCGGAGGAGGAGACGACTCGTGTGTGGATCCTTACAGGGTGAGGGGAGCAAGTGCAATCTGTTTGCGCCCCCAGCAAAGCTCCTTCCTCCTCTCTGCCCGTTGGAGCTCTCCTTCCAACCACAGCTCGGCTGATTTGATCGGAGTTTATGGGCCCACAGGCACAAGCTCCTCCTCCTCCTCCTCCTCCTCCTCCTCCTCCTCCTCCTCCTCCTCCTCCTCCTCCTCCTCCTCCTCTTCCTACTCGGTATGGAGCGGATTCTGCTCAAGTCAACCGTCAATGATCTGTGAAGAAGCTGCTGACTGCGGGGAGCTCGCACAGTGCGTCCATTTCGCGAGGGTGCAGGAGGGCAGGAGGAACGGGAGTGTGACGCTGGGGGTGAAGGTGAGGGAACGAGGCCTCCTCCTTCAACTGCAACTGCGGTACCTCAAGTGCGTGGGCCTGCGGGACGAGTTGCTGGGGATCTGTGCACGGGACGGGTATGAAGTCGCCGATCAGTTCCCCTTCGTCCTCAACTTCAGTATGGACGTGTGCGGGGTGTGCGGGGGGAACAATGCGAGCTGTGCCGGTTGTGACCTGGTGCCTCTAAGCGGGAAGGAGGAGGACGCGTGCGGGGTGTGCGGAGGGGACAACTCAACATGCCGCGGGTGCGATGGAGTAGTGTGGAGCAGGAAGACGGTGGACGCGTGTGGAGTGTGCGGGGGAGGAAACGTCTCGTGCTTGGGCTGCGATGGAGTAGCCTGGAGCGGCAGGGCTCTTGATGCTTGTGGTGTGTGCGGCGGGGACAACAGCTCCTGCCCCCTCTTCCTCCCTCCTCGTCCTGCGAAGTTCTGCGTTGGGGACCCGACGGTCGCCACCCTGACGCTCGTGGTGCCAACAAGCAGGATACAGTCGTTTGTCATCGTGGAGTCAGGAGATGGGCTGTGGAGAAGTGTTCTTGTCTACCCTCCCTCCTCCTCCTGTGGCCAGTGCATGTCCTGCCTCGGGGCCCTCGACTCGCCGCCATGGTGTGCCAGGAGCGGCTGCGTCGGGTGCCCTAGGAGCGCAACCGTGACGCTGTACAGCGATCTGCTTCCAAGCAACGTGCAGCCCAACTCGAGCTATCGCATCCTCCTGGTGCAGGCCGGGAGCAGGGAGGAGGAGACGAGACAGTCAGGTGTGGACCTGCTGGTCCTGCCGCGTCGAGATGCGTGTGGTGTGTGCGGAGGAAGGAACGAGAGCTGCGCAGGATGCGATGGGGTTGTGAACTCAGGAAAGGTCCTTGACCTCTGCGGCTGGTGCGGGAGGCCGAGCGACGCTCGGTTCAACGAGTGTGTGGGATGCGACGGGAGGGAGGGGAGCGGAATGGAGGAGGACGTGTGCGGGGTATGTGGGGGAGACGGCACGTCCTGCCTCGACTGCATGGGGGTGCCATGGGGCGACGCAAAGGTTGACAGCTGCGGGACGTGCGGGGGAAGCGACGAGACCTGCAAGCACACGTATGCGCTGATAGTGAAGGGATCGGGCAAGTCGACATGGGGAGGAGAGGAGGAGCGGGTGTGTGCGGGGAAGCTAGTCTCCGTGATCTGGCGCGCTCCCTCGAACCACTCGTCCTCTGACCGCATTGCCCTGTTCTGGTCGGTCATGCCGCACGTGCCGCTGTCCCCGGACATGCCTGTGCCCTCAGGGTACGCAGGAGGGATGAGCTTGTTGACCAGCAGACTTTGGTGGGACGAGGAGGTGAACGGGACGTACCTCTTCTTCAAGTACTTCACTGTCTCCTCCTCTTCCACTTCCTCCTCGTCCTTCAAGAGAGAGATTGTACGCAGCCCAGGAATCATGCTGGATGCTCCAGCGGATGCCTGTGGGGTTTGCGGAGGAGACAACTCGTCCTGTACTGGCTGCGATGGAGTACCCAACAGCGGGAGGGAGGAGGACGTGTGTGGGGTGTGCGGGGGAGACGGTCTCTCCTGCCTGGACTGTCTCGGCATTCCCTACGGGCCCCACCGACGAGATCGATGCGGTCGATGCGGCGAGCCCGTACGAAGATGCACAGGAGGAGGAAGCGACGGCATGTTGTGCGAGGACTCGAGAGAATGTCAAGGTGAGAGGAGGGGAGGGAGGGAGTAGCTTGAGGGGGAGGAGAAGGAGAGGGAAAGAGTTTATAGGCTGACGGGGAATGGAGGCGGAGGTCTGACAAGAAGGGCAGGAGGGAACTGCAGCCTCGCAGAGGGGAGGGAAGGAGAGTGGAACTCTTGTGTCGACTGCAACGGGACGGTGAACGGGACCAGTAAGCTCGACTCGTGCGGCAAGTGCGGGGGAAGCGACTCAAGTTGCGAGCGGGGGTACCAGGTGCGAGCAGTGAGCAGCTTGTTCTGCATGGGACAAGCCGTCTCCGTCCTCTGGCTCGCTCCCTCCACTCGCCCTCCTGCCAACATCCTGGGGTACGGGCGAGTTGCTGCCGACGGCTCTACTGGGCCTCTGCTGGGCTGGGCATACACGCAGCCCAAGGAGGTGAGGTCGGGTGCTGGAGGCCTGCTGGGGTCGAGCTCCTACCTGTCGAGCAGCGACTCGACGAGCGGCCTCGTGCTGTTCAATCGCAGCAGTCTGGAGGAGCAAGCGAGCTCGTGCAGCTCTGCGCCAGCAGCAGGCGAAGCAGGAGCAGGAGCAGGAGCAGGAGCAGGAGCAGGAGCAGGAGCTTGTCTCACAGGAAGTGAGTTCCTGCGGCCAGTAAGAATGGGGAGATATCGCTTTCAGTACTTCCTCTCCCCTCTCAGCCCCTCCATCGCCGCCCAGAGCCAGCCCTTTGACCTGATCGACCAGCTGGACCCTTGCGGAGTCTGCGGGGGGAACGGGTCCACCTGCGCGGGTTGCGACGGGGTCCCCAACAGCGGATTGACGTTTGACAAGTGCGGAGTTTGCGGGGGGAGGAGCAGCTGCGTTGGGTGCGATGGCGTTCCCTTCAGCGGTGCGCGACTAGATGTCTGTGGGGTGTGCAATGGTACAAACGCTGCTTGCACGGTGAGTGGAAGAAAGGAAAGCCTCTGCTCCCTTGCTCTTGCTATCCTATCCTATCCTATACTTTCCTCTCCTCTCCTCTCCTCTCCTCTCCTCTCCCATCATCCGTCGATTCTCGCCATCCTCCTCTTCCCCCACCATCACCATCACCATCACCACCAACTACTGCTACTACAACTACCACTACTACTACTACTACCTCCCCTGCTTCTCCTTACCTGCTTCTCGATTCCTGTGTCTCCTCACGTTGACTGCGTCAGGGCTGCGACGGTATCCCCCGCCCTCCTCCTCTCCTCCCCACACGACCGGACAAGTGCGGCCACTGCGGAGGCAGCGACGACTCCTGCGCCGTCCCCCCTGCCGTCGGCATCCTTCCCTCCATGTTTTCCTTCGCCTGCTCCAGGACCAGGCAGCTGGGGATCTGGTGGCAGGTGCCCAGCAACCGTTCCCTGTCCGACTTCGTTGCGCTCTGCAAGTTGGGCGCGAGTCTCCCCTTCTCTCCCACCGACTGTCTCGTGGTCGTTCAGCTGGACTTGAGCTCGAGCGTGCGGGGCAGGACGACTGTCAGCCTGCCGGATGACTTCCTGGTGCTGGGCTGGTATGAGGTGCGGTACGTCAAGGTGGGGGCAGGAGGAGGAGGAGGAGGAGGAGGAGGAGGAGGAGGAGGAGGAGGAGGAGGAGGAGGAGGAGGAGAGAGTCTGCTGTCTCAAGACCTAGAGTACTCAGTGGGTTCAGTGCAGAGGTTTGAGATGACGGGCGATCCATCGCTTTGCCTGCAGCTGCAGTTTAACGTCTCCCTGCCCTCCTCCTCCTTCTGTCTCGGCCAGCCCCTCCCCATCCTTTACAAGGTCCCCTCCTCCCTCTTCCCCGACAGCGCAAGTATCAGCTCCTCCTCCTCCATCCTCCGCTCTGCGCTAGTTGGGATCATGGAGCTCCAGACCATCTCAGGGGTGCGGGGATTCTACCCCAAGGAGGGCCAGCTGCAGGATACCAGCGCAGAGCCCTGCTACGCTCCTTGCTCCTCCTCTCCCTTCCTCTGCTCCGTGTGCTTCAGGAGGATCTGCGCAGCCAGCGAGACGTGCAAGACGTCAGGGTCCCTCACAGTGAGCAGGGAGGAGACGGCTGGGCTGCAGCTCCCGAGTAGGCAGGGTCTCTACCGCGCCTGCTACTACGACAGCTACGTCACCTTCTCCTCCTCCTCTCCCGTCACCTGCAGCGAGCCCTTCGTCGTCCAGGCTGGCACCGTCGACGCGTGCGGGGTGTGCAGAGGAGACAACTCGTCCTGTGCTGGCTGCGATGGAGTACCCAACAGCGGAAAGGAGAAGGACGCGTGCGGGGTGTGCGGGGGAGACGGGTCCTCCTGTCGAGGATGCGACGGGGTACCCAACAGCGGGAAGGAGGAGGACGCGTGCGGGGTGTGCGGGGGAGACGGGTCGTCATGCAGTGGGTGCGACGGGGTGCCGAACAGCGGGAAGGTCGATGATTCGTGCGGAGTGTGCGGGGGGAGCGACTGGCACTGCAGGGACGAGTACTCGCTGACGCTCAGAAGCACTTGTGTTGATCCCGCCAGCGCTGACCCGAGTGTCCTCCTGGTCTGGACGGCGCCTTCCAATCACTCGCTCCTCCTCCTCCTCCTCAAGAACCCTCAAGGCGTGCCCTGTCTCTGGAGCTGGGGAGGTACCTCCTCCTCCTACTACCTCCAGCTGCCGCCGGGCTACAAGGAGTGCGGGCAGGCGTGCAGCCGAGGAGAGGAAAGGATGAGCTGGAGCGCAGGGCTGGCAGCCACCTGTGCTGCAGCTGGGGAGGGGAGCGGGGCGGGAGGGAGCGGAGAGCTGTGGCAACTCGAGCTGCTGAACGGGAACTCGACGCTGCTTGCTAGCACCTCCTTCGTCTCGCAGACAGGCTGCTCGTCCTGCCAGCACGTATGGGTGGGAGAAGCGTGCGAAATAGAGCCCTCCCCCTCCCCCTCCCCCTCTCCTGTGGAAACCTCTCCTCCTCCTCCTCCTCCTCCTCCTCCTCCGACGCTGCAGAAGCACCGGAGTGCTGTCCTCATCTCGCTGCTCAGTAACGTCAGCGACTCGGGGGATCGACATGGTCGAGAGAGCAA